TTAATTGGAAAGCATAATTGTATATAAAGCTTAAAAAATTTTCTACTTTTCTTTCAAGACAAATTTTAGTATTATGAGAAACATTAGGATTTATTTAATCTGATTCAAATATAAACATACTTATCCTTCAATTAGTCCCCTGTTTATTTCATGCTATATTATAAAAAATTTTGGAGAGAGCAGTTAATTTTTTCTTTTTCTTTTGGCATGGCTAGAGCATGGGTCTATCAGGATAAGGTCATAATTTTTTATACAAATTTGAATATTTAACGTAATTTGTTCTTCGTAACTTTTTTCTGGTGAGTTCAAACTTCATCCTGAATTTAGCTAGAATATTGATACCTGAACTCCACTTCTTAGAGAGTTGTGTAATATGGTGACTATTTATGTTATTTTACAAATAAGAGGAAGTAAGAATGGAATGTCTAGTAGTGTTTCAGAATATTATAAAAAAATCAGTGATATTTATATTTATATAAATGAGTACAATTTTATTCTACCTATGCTTATTACTTAAATTTTTCAAGAATTAACACTCAAACTTTCAATTGTTTCCTGTATAATAGCTATCTAATTATCCTTGATTTGTTATCTTTCAAATTATAATAGTAGAACACCCTTGTTTTTAAATGCAACTACCCAATTTTCATTTCTTTCTTCTTTTTTGTGTAATTCATGCTTTGTTCACATTCCTTTCAACACTCAACTTTCAAAGAGCAGAAGAATATAGATTGCTTTGGGAGTCCAAATTTTACTGAGTATTTGGAATGCTTGCATATGTTAGTATTCCCTTTGCCCTGCTTTTACTCTTATGGTTGTAGGAAAAATAACACCTTTTTTGCTATTTGTAGGTCTATATTTGTTGTAGGAACAAATCAATATTGTTTGGGCACAAGTAATAGTTTACAAATCTTCATCAATAGATTTTATGTCATAGAGTGTTGATTTTCCATTTCACTTTTAAAAAATCTTCCCCAAAGCAGATTTTTTTCTATTTTAAAAACATATATTCTGGTATTATGTCATCCATTAAAAAGTAATTGAGAACACTATTGTTTGTTTTCCAAACAGGTTTAAAAAACGAATGCTAATAGAACAACTGGAGAACTTCTTGGATGAAATTCATCGAAGAGCCAATCAGATCAACCATATTAATAGCAATTAAAGGAAAATGAGAATGTGGCCACTTATTTCACTATCTTCTTCAAATACAAAGTAAATACAAGACTGTTGTGATCTTGCATTCATTTTTTGACATGCATTGTTGGCTATTTGAAATACTAAAAGCAAATCTACAGATCCTTTTTCCATCATTTTACAGTGACCTTTTCTTCATTTTGGTTTATTTTTGTAATGTGAAAAGTATCACTCTAAAAAACATTTTTATTTAACAAACTAAAAATATTCCTCCAAATCTCTTGCTTGTCATTGACTCTTGCGTGTCAATTTCCCTCAGGTTCTATTTTCTTAAACCAACCTTTAAAATTGTCACCTCTGTTAAGGTTGAACTTTGCCAAAAAAAAAAAAAAATTAAAAAGAAGTTACTTTGTAATTTTTGGGGAAAAAAGCACATACGTTAAAACTAGGTAATGTTTTGTATATACAGTTATTTTGGATATATTATTGTAAGTTGTACAAATGTATTTTGAAGAATATTTAAGAAAGCACTTTTGTTATTCCATCAATAAATGCTCTATTTTACTCTTGTGTGGTTTAGGAAATAATCACATTCAAAATAATCATTTACAAACATCCTTAGATAATGGAATTTTAAAGGCCTTGCTTTTTAGCATTGGAAAACACACCACGTGAAATTCATATTTGTTAAATCTAACTGTAATTACATGTTACATGATCTGCATTGTTTCTTTACTATTTGTTCATAGCTTTTGTTGGCCACATCAATATATTCCCATTTCTGCTTGAATCATGGAAATGGCTATGTCTGTGGCAGCAGATAGACTCTAAAAGCTGTTTTAAAAAGCAGACAGCTTTGGAAGTTACTGATTTCCTTATCTCCCTTCAACCCTTTTTCTTTTCTCATAGGATTCTGGATGGTACTAACTTGAAGTTGTTAGTTAGGGAGTGATAAGTTTGGGGAATGCTACATTCTCTGTAATAGCTTGCCTTTAGCAAGTTTGATGCCATGCCAAGCTTATAAAAGTCCATGCATGACATATTAGAGGTTTAGCGGTGATCTCTTCATTCTGCTCTGCAATTCTCAGACTTAAACTCTCAATTTTATTTAGAAGCTAAATAGAAAACAGGTTTAAGATGATTTTGTTCATTTTGCATTCCCTCTGAGTTGTACAGGCTGAGGAAAACCAAAACGGAAACCATCCATTCTCCACCCTCAATCCAATGTGACCTTCTTTATCCTTATTGAGGATGCCATCCTGTGACTTGATAATTTCACCATTCATAGATCACTGCTGTGCCTTTTAGTATTTTTGAGGGTAACTAGTAGAAAAGGTTAAATTTTTAGATTTGAATTGAGAGGGCAAATATGTCTATAAAATTATAATAAAATTGAAGTATTTTTAGGTTCATAACATTTGAAAATCACATACCCTTATCTTTATACACTTTTATCAGAACATTTTTAAATGTCAAAGGTATAGCAAAATGAAATTGTAACTAAAATTTTTATGAAGAAAAACACATGAAAATGTAGAACATCCTTGAGATCTGCTTAATTCAGTCAAGGGGATTTGAAACTCTCCCAATACTGAAGACAAATCCTGTCGAGATAAAGAAGCATTTAATGTAACATATAGTATTTTCATATGCAATTCTTTGAACCTTTTTTTACCTTTATAAAATATAATCAAGTAAAGCAAGATACAATTTAATAATTGGAGTTATTCAAGTAATTGCCCACAGTTACATTGCTAAATTCAGCAAGAGCTACACAAAATCCAGAATGTACTGTCTGGTCTTGAATTTTATGTATTTAGATTCAGAGTAATAGAAGACATAAGAAGTCATTCAAATAGAAATTCATACTTAATATATTGAACCCAGGGGGCACTGTATCACTGAGCTACATCCTCAGCCCTTTTTTCTTCAGAGACAGGGTCTTGCCTACATTGCTTAAGGCCTTGCTAAGTTGCTGAGGCAGGCCTCAAACTTGCCATCCTCCAGGCTCAGCCTCCCGAGTTGCTGGGATTGCAGGCATGCGCCACCCACCATGCCTGGCAATAGTTGATTTCCATTTCACAGATTGCTTATGAAGCAATGATTCTTTAGACCCTTGACCTTTAGTACATTTTTCAGAAAGAACTCTATAGGGACTTGGAAGTATCAGTTTATTCTGTCTCCTCTTTTTGACCTTTATCTCTCTTCCATGACATAACCTCATGCCAAAAATCTAGTCTCAGAGTTTGAAACCCATCACAACCAAGCTTAATATCTCATCTCTCTCAGGCTTCTTTCATTTATTTAAAACAAACAAAAACTACAGATGATTTGGTTAACTTAGTGAAATACTTGTTAGAGAATTATTCTTGTCAGCAAAGAAAAATATGATATCTGAGGCAGGTATGTCTTGAGACTCTTAGATCACTAAATGACCTTACATTGGCAAATGGTATTTTCTGAAAGGTTAATGTTGGAAGTTTTTACATTGCTTTTTAAAAAATGTTCCCGTGTGTCTTAATTTGTTGATTGATTCATTAGTTGCTCTTATCTTTAAGCTTTGTCAGTTTGGAGTAGTGAAGGCCGAGATTTGTTTCTAATTTTCTCAGTAACTGTCAATAGCCTCTTTGATTTGGGTGATATGGACAAGAGCCTTCCAGAAAGAAATGTAAACAAATTCACAAAGGCTATGCTTAGATTTGTGGTGGATTATTGAACTAGTTTTGAATTAGCCTTATATTTTCATTCTGATTGCTAAGGCAGTTCTGAAAACTAAAGTGGTGTGTCATTTCCTAGTTCAAGAATTGTACACCATTTTTATGCAGTTAATAGAATCTCTTTAATTGTCATCAATCTTTATTGGCTTATCAGCATTTGGCAATGACCTTTCTGTTAAAGTTTAGCCTTACCTTGGTTTCTTGAGAGTAGAACCTACCTTTTTTTTTTTTTCTTAACATGTGACTCTCTGCTGCTTGTCCTGAGTGATAAGTGACATTTTCATCTAATCACTATGGGGTTGGGCAGATCATGGTGATAATACTAAGTGGATATATTCTGTTGATGGACTTTTTCTCCCCAAATAATCCCTTAATAGATTATCTTCATCCTTTTGTCACAAAAATGTTCCTTTTATTTCTAGTGCAAGTAATGGCAGTATGCAAATGATTCTCAGATAAAATGATGTTGACAGTATTTCTTTAATTTGTGTAAAACTATGCTTAATTTTCATAATTCTAACTTTTGACTTTTTTCCCTCTCCATAAATAAAAGTAATGCCTGATGTTTAGTTAAAGTAGATCCACCTTTGCTTCATTTTATTAGTCTTGTTCCATCCTATTTATTTTTAATACACTGTTTAGACTTGCCAACAACTCTTTACTGAGAATCTCTTCATTCCTAAATATGGTCGGGGGGAGGAGGAACATTAAGAGAAATAATTTAAAGATTTTGTATCATGTTATTGAAGCTTAAAGGACATCTGCTTTTCTTTGTGATGTGCAAGGCATTGCCTGTATCACACCATCTTTGGGTTGAGATAAGACTATATAGTGGGACTTAAAAAGTTCTAAGGCAAATATTTAATTTTTGAGAAAGATAAATAGAAGAACAATATAAAAATCCAGATGAATTCACTAGAATTCTAGAGTCACTAGGGGTGTTCTCTGAGACACTCTTGGGGCCTGAGGAAACTGTCTTTTCCTAAAATGATAGGAAAGCCTAGAGAACAACTGGCCAAGGGAAGAAAGCCGATATAGAGGTAGGGGTTATAGCTTAATGATGGAGCACTTCCTGGCAGGTACCAGGCCCTGGGTTCAATCCCCTAGTGCCACCAAAAAAAAAAAAAAAAAAGCTATTTACTTTCATCATGATTTCTTAGTCTCCCTAAAAGAGTAGATACCTACAGAATTCAAAAAAAAACTATAAGCTGAAAACAAAAAGACAGAAAACATGGAGAATAATAGTTCTACTGTACTTATGAAATAGTCAGACTAAGACAAATTCACAACTGAAAAGTTTCTGAAACACTATAGAAATAGCTAGAAGGATTGCCTGTTTTAGGTTGTAGGAACAGATGAGCCGTTTATTCATAAATATTTAATTATCTCAATCCTATTAAAAAATACCTGTGCTGGGTTCTCTCAGGAAAAAGATGAATGGCCGATCTGCCTTAAAAACAGGAATCCGAGACCTTTTAAGTAACAACAGAGCTGCAAGAAAAGAAAGAATGAAAGAATCCCATTATATCTTGTTATTTATCTGAAGAAAAGCACAATTTAGATTGGGTACAAATTCAATTATATACCTTGATTTTTTTTTTTTTTGAAAGAAACCAAAGCATTCTATGACATTTCATTTTTTGGTGTTTAAGGTGGGTGCAAAAGGGAAAATTAAGAATAAAAGATAACAGCCGAGCCTCTTATTTTTCAAAGATTCCATGGAATAAATTTCTTATAGAAGGTAATTTTTAAAATGATTCTCTATTTCTTATTTACGAGATGATGGTATAAATCCTTTCCAAAATGAATCTCTTCCATTTTTCAAAAATGTTTTTTGTTTTCATTTTTTTTTTTTTTTTATGTTATACTAACTTCTGGACTGGGGTTTTTAATGGAAAGATTTAGAATGGATGCAACTGGTCACATTTAGCAAGGGTAGATAGACAGGGGCCAGCATGTGGTGGGGGTTTCTGGACATACCTGTGCCTGCTGATGCCTTGGTGCCTTCCTCTGAAACCTCCAGCTTGGCTTTGTGTATTGCTTCAGAAACATAAATGCCATCCTGGCCTGGCCCCAGGAAAGGAAAAAAAAATGTGATTTGCTTGTTTACATTTTTCCAGACATTTAGTCTAAGTATTTTAAAAGAATGTACTTAAAACTTAGTTTCCATTGCTGCTTACTGTATAGCTAGGGAGAAATTGTTTAGAAAATTATCAAGTGTCAATATTTTTATGCAACTTTCAAAAACCCAACTTGTTAAATTTATCTAATAATTCTCTCCTCCCCACCAAAATTAATATTCAGGCACTGTCCCATGTTTTCAATAATTAATTTTAAAAGTGAATCCTAGTTAACATTAAAATCTTCAGCCAGTATTTCTAAAACTTTAAATAATGATAAGAATTATATGAGTTAAAAGGCAGATTCTGTAGCCCAGTAATCATTTTCAGTAGGCTTCTGTGATGATTTTCCTTGAATCCCTTCTTGGATTGCATTTCTGAGAGTCACTTTTATGCAACCATATTTATTTATTATTGTGGTTCAGGGGATCTAATCCAGAGCCTTGCAGTGGGTCGGCAAGTGCTCTACTACTGAACTACCTTTAAATGGTCAAGTTACAGGTTTTAGCTTTAAGAGGCATAATTTACTGTATAAAAAATGTGTCTAATGTTGTGCAGCTGCATTCTGTGTGTCAGTTGCCTCTTGGCCCCAAATCTGCAGAGAAAATGGGAATGACTAACTAATTGTGCTGTGCACTAACAGTCTCAAAAGATCTAAGCTTAGCAACTGGGACTGTGAGTGATGACTTGCAAGTGACAGAATTCTGTAATTTAAAAATTAACCATTTTGAAACAATTCTCCAAAGATGAAATGGTAGTATATGGAATAACGAATGAAAGAATCTTTAGAAGAAACTTCAGCTATTAAAGGGGGCTGTTAAGTCGATAAGCAGAATTGGAAACATGCAGGTTTTAAGACTCAAGCCCATTTCCATCCCATCCCTCCACTCAAATACTACCACTTTTCAGAAAGTGTGTTCTAGTCAGCTCTAGCATGCCAACTAAAGGGATCTATAGCCTGCGTGTTAGAATAGTCAATTTAATGTATTTCAAGGGAGCTTTTTGTCTGTGTGGTTTTAGCCTAATTCATTTGCATTACTCTTGCACATATAAGGAAATGGGTCGTGAGTGTCATATGGGAAAACCACCCCAGAATATAGAATATGCAGCATTTCATCCATCTTGTAATTAAGGTATGTCCAGGTATTGTGAGTTAGCTATGGTCACTATAAGGAACAATCATTTGCCAGCATCAGGGGAGGGACAGAAAGGAACCAGAGGAGGGAGAAAATCCATGGAAACATTGATTTGGCACCAGAGAAGAAGTTAGTCTTTTTCTGCAGGACTTTTGAGAAAATAAGTTTACTTGTCAATAATTAGCCCTTCCTACTAGCTCATTGAGCAACCACAGTGCCAGAATTAAAAACAGTTTCTGGATAAAGAATGATTCGTTGACAGTCGTGACAAGGTTTTACTATTTCTGTGACTTCACTACCGTTTAGTATGATGTCTGAACATTTTAAATAAGTGATGAAATGAGTAGAGCTCACTATGAAACCTCAACTCCCTATAGACTAAAATACAGTCAGTGCATGTCTGTGTTAGTCTGGGCATGGTGTGAGAAATGTGGCCAACTGGGATGGATGTCTTCAGGAAGATAGGTTGGGTTATTTCAATGTCTTGAAAGTGAAGAGTTTCCTTTAAATAAGTTTTCTCAGTTAGACTAAATTAGATCCATAACCTGTCATGCCTCAGTATTGACATCTCTTAAATTTTATCTCTGACAAGAGTTGACATTCCAAAAGACCAACGTGATAAAAATGAGAATTTGGGAGATTCTGTGAGTTTTGAGTTTGCCTTTTGATCTTGGACTACACCTCCCTTTGCTTACTTTGGTTAAGCAATGTTGAAATGTTATGCAACTTATGAAATCAACCTAGAAGACGCTGAGCATGTGAGGATTTCCTGGCCTTTTTCTCTTCTGAAGTGTTGGCAGCTTAGTGTCTTTGAAGATCATACAGATCTTTTTCCCCAAGTCATTTTTAGGTGCTTTTCCACAGTTGATTAAATGTGGGAGACGTGGCTAAACTCTTTTGCACTTTTGTTTTGAGTAGGGAATTTCTCAGAGCTAATAAGTTGTAATGTTTTCAATGAATGTTTACAGGAGGCTCCCAATACTTAGTGTTTAGCCATAAAACCATCTATACCACCCCTGTGCTCAAATTTACTGGACTAGCATTCTAGAAAATGTTTAGGGAAATGAGCAGTAAAAACCCATACATTCCTATTTACATTTCAATACCTAAAGCAAAGGCTTGGGCATACTTCCCACTTCTTCCATAACATCTTCTACCAGTGCTTACCCTCCTTTTTCAATTGTCAGCACTAGAAGGCAGAAATGACTTAGTCATTTTTAAATACTTCTTTGCCCAACTTGCATAATCTTGTTAAGATTATGTGTTTACTAAATTACTGGATGAATTAATAATAAACCCTCACAACCATTTGCCTCATTTCCCCCACAAAGAAATTTTCCTTTGTGTTCTTTAACAGTGATGACATCTATAAGAAAATGTTGGTTAGTGTGTCGAACAGCAAGCACACAGCAAGTCTCAGCCAAATGATTGTTTCAGTTCCCCTGACTCCCTTTGTTGATGGAGGCCATTACTCTTTTGTGTATGGTTGGTCACATTCTCAAAAGGATTCGGAGTCTTTATATTGTGACTGTGTAAACACGAGATTTGCAAAATGGGTGTCTCTACATTTACTGTATTGTTAGGGGCTTTAAAAAAATTATATTTTCCAGAACTCGCATCTAGCTTACCTTTCTCATCTTGTCATTTAGCTGCTAAGAGATGGAGGGTGTGTGTGTGTGTGTGTATATTTCACATAGAACCTAGCCCAGGATATAGAGAAACAACACTAAGAGGAATCTGAGATGGCTTCTGAACTTAGGCTGTAGTTAGTTTCTTTCTCCAGTTTTCCTAGTGTTTATCTCACTCATTACTCCTGTCTGTGTAACTCTGACCAAATAGTTGGTGTGATGTATGTTAATTCATGTACTCTGCATGGTTTGCTCATTTGAAGTCATAGTAAGTCAAAGTAAGAGAGCCTGGTACTTCTTACTGAGCAGAGATTGGAAACTGATTACTTGCTTATAAAAGCAAAGAATAGTTTCGTTCTTGTGTGTAAGGAATGTTTCCTGGACTAAAGGAAGTGGATCTATCTGTATCAAAACCTGGTGATCCTAAAGGAAGTATTCAAAAAGATTCTGCTTGGTCTCTTTACTGTGAACGAGACTAGAATTACTTTTTTTAAAAATATATTTTTCTTTTTTAGTTGTTTTAGTTATTTTATTTTGCTTTAGTTATTTTATATTTGGTACTGAGAATTGAACCCAGTGCCTCACATGCTAGGCAAGTGCTCTACCACTGAGCTACAACCCTAGCCCTAGAATTACTTTTAAAAATTTCTTAACACCTGGTGTCAAGGATGTCTGGTGTGGGGGGAAATTGTGCCGTGGGCTCAACTGAGCCTTGAAATGATGTTGAGTCAGTTCTTCAAATAGGAAAAAAAAAAAAAAAAAGATACAAAGAAGAGACAGGTGACTTTTAGGTAGGGAAGAACTTGAATAAAATGATTCAGGGCTTTGAAACCAAATGGAAAAAGGCCAAATATTCTCTATGATTGTTGGACTTCCATCAATAGTACAAAACTGCTTGGTGACCTCTTGTTAATTGAAGGAAGAGAGGTCAGCATTTTCCCATCACGTCCTCTGGTTAATTCTCAGCAGATGTTGTGTTATATATTAAGACCTTTTATTTCTACAATTAAGAAATGAGGTTGGTGATGGCGACCTCCATTTTAGAAATAAAGAAACTGTTTCTTGGAGGCTCAGTGGCCATGTCTCAAGAATGAAGCTAGAAGCCCACTTGGGCATAGATGTGATTTGACTAGTCTTGATTATGTTTAAAGAAGATCATTGGAAAACCATACTTTAGTAGGCAGACTTTACTATAACAGGCCAGATATTGAAAGTTTATCTGTTGTGAGCCCTGTGGTGTTTGTTATTACAACTCAGCTCCACATTTGTAGTAGGAAAGCAGCCATAAATTATTTTTAGATGGATGGGAATGGCTGGCCATCATTTGCTGACTCCTGTCCTAAAGGGATAAAACATTGGGAGAAGGTTATAATGCTGATGTGTCTTGTCAGTAAGAAACATGAATATAAGCTTTGCATCTGACATGTGGAAACTGCCAGGTAATTATTCAATGAACCAGATCTATAAACATATTTATGTTGGATTGAATAGATATAAGCAGACTTCCTGTATTAGGGGGAAAATGGTGAGGTGTTCAAACAGGGGCTCTTAAAACTACGTGGCTTGTTAGAACTTAGGAACTTTGAATGTCTTTACCAATGTGGGGGCTACAAGGTGTAGGTTAAGGTCAGACCTATTTGAAGACACAGGACTGATGGCATTTTATAGAAGGGTACCTTCTATAAAAGTCCCAAGGTGTTGGACTTTTATAGAAGGGACCCTTGCTTCCTGTGTTCTATTTGTTAAGTAACTGCCTTTCAACTGGTCACATCTAAGCTCAAGTCAAGTCTTGTCTTGTAGATCAAATTCACGTTATTCTTTGTGATTGCTTAAGAAGGAGATTCTGAACAAAGTTTTAGAACACTTGACTGTGTTATGATCATCTAACATTCAAAATAGTGATTCTCAAGTTTATCAGGTAAGGGGAATGTGAAGACCAATGAGAATGCCTGCCACACCTTGTCATCCTCACACAGATAATTTATCATCTAGAGTAGAAATAAACCTGAGCCTTTGGGTTGGCAATAGTTTAGCCAAAGTTATTGAGAAGATTCTGGAATGTAAGTTCTGACATTCTGCTCCCTTTTATGTTTGATGTAAGTTCAGATCACAACTGAACACAACCCTTTTTGATTGTAAAAAGCATGTCAACTATGGGCAAAGAAATTCAGTGTATATGCTGGAAAGGAAAACATTTTAGGGCAAAGATATAAGACCATGAGTTATTTGAGGAAAGGAAATTTGGTGGGTGAGGGGGAAGTTCATTAGAAAAGAACTGAGGAGGTACAGGGAATGAGGATGGGAGAGGAGGCAGCAAGGAAGGGTGACTGGGAGGCTGGAATGACAGCGGGAGGTTCAAATGGAAAGTTCTGTTGCTGTGCCTGTGCCTCTCTACGAGCCCAGTGGCAAAGAACAAAGCACTGTGGCCACGGACGGCACTGGGAAAGTAGTCTCCAAAATCTGTGCTTAAAGGTCTCAAGACATAGACTGTTACCAAAAGCAGCACATTCTTATATAAAGCAAAGCAATTTTATCCTCTGATATAATATTTGACTTTGGCTGTTTAGCACTGAGGGCTCTGGGGAAGCAACGAAAGCCCCCTTAAAGTATAACAAAACTGTCCCAAACGTAATACCAACAAAGCTTGGAAGAATTGTTACCTGAAATTCCTTTTAAGTTAGCTTTGAGTGGATCAAAAAGATCGGTGACTCCCCAAGCACTTAAAATGCTCTTTAAGTCGAATTGATTTTGGATCCTAAATCTAAAAAATAAGAACAAACCATCAACTTTCATTTGGAATTTCTACTCAATGTGCTTCATACACACCACATGAAGTCCAAAGTTCTAACGTGGAAGTCGGTCCACCGGATTTCATTTCAGCCTTATCTTCGATTGCTCCTTCCTGTAAGCACTGCCCCTTGACCAATCTGACTGCCTACGGTTGTTTCCCATCTGTGTGCTTTTGTTCAGGCTGTTCATTCCAAGTTTCCCCCTTTTCCCTTAATCACTTTTTAATGATTAAAGATTCCTCTACTGTTACCTTCTTCTCTTCTCTCCAGATGTTTTGTGACCTTGGTTCGTTCTTAAAGCTCCATTAACATTTGTTCTACTCTAATGTATAGAACATTCTGCTTCCTATTACCATTCTTCATGATAAGCTACCCACAAAAAGAGGTTATCCATGTTCATTTTTCTTTCTTAGTAATAATATTTAATGAGCGCTTACATTGTTCTAGGCACTATGACAGAGCTTTGTATGGATTATCTCATTTCATGTTCATATGACTCTTATTATTATCCTCACATTACAGATGGAAAAAGTGAGGCTGCCCAAGATGATCTAGCAAGGACGCAGGGGAACCTCAATTCAAAGCGAGACAGTGTGAGTGCAGAGTCCCAGCTCTGATCATCTGCACTTGCTACCTCCTATTTCAGGTGGCATCACACACATAGGTGCCCAAAAGAAGTGACTGACCAATTGACAATTAATAGAGCATCTCACTTACTGTGTTTATATTGGATAAGACACTTTCATGTTTGCTGTGTGTAGTGTGTGCCTTGATGCAGAGCAGAGAAACTTGGTTATCCTTTTGAGCAGGAAGTATCAGCACACCAACTTTACAATATTTCCCCAGGGGTAAGGCCTTAAAGATTTAACCACTGAAGGATCCTTTCAATGAGATGCTGCTGTTTTTCTTTGGAAAAGAATTTTGAAGTGGAATTTAGATTTTTTTTTTTCTATAAACCAGAAAGAATTTGCCAGAGAGTAAAAATACTGGACAGGACCATTTGATATCAAAGGTCTTCATTGCTATATGAGACAATGTGACTAATGTTTTAAGCAAAAGTAGCAGACTTTCTCATCAAAGTGTCTTTTGGACTTTCAGAATAGTTTCAAAAAAAGGTATGTGCTGCCTTCATGTATGCTGACATTTTTCAATGTCCATCAATGACCACCTCTTCTGAAATTTTCTGAAGTACTTAAACATACCTTTCAAGAACTCTAAATGCTGAAACATAGTGGTTAAGAGTATATGTTTGAGAATCTGGAGCCTGGGTTTGAATACTGGCCCAATCTCTTTCTAGGTAAGGGAGTAGTTATTTCACCTGTGATGCAAGTGACTTCACTTCTCTTAGCCTCAGTATCCTCATCTATAAAATGAACATAAGAGGGGTTCTTGTTTGTAGGGTTGTGAAGGTTAAATGAAGTATCCTTGTCAAGTGTTCAGAACAATGCCCAACACAGCCTGTGTACCTATTGTTGCCATTGTGGTTTTATTGATGTTTCTCGAAAGATATTGAGAAAGAGTTATTGTCTCTTTGAAACCAAGTATAGTTATTAGGATGGGTGATAAAACTGAATTTTTAGTAAATTAAGAACAGCAGTGAAAGGGAGGTATGACTACAAAAGATTAAAGTGATTTTCTTAAATGACTACGGAGGTAGATCAAGAAGAAATGCTACAAAAACAGCTTGAGTAAACAAAAAAAAATGCCCTTTACCAAAACTAGAAAAAATATAAGAAAACTATAAATCAATATCTCTTTGAATATAGATGTAAAGACCACACCAAAATACTAGCAAATTGAATCCATACCATATAAATTGCATGATAATCAAATGAGTTTTATCCCAGGAATTTAAGATGGGTTCAACATATGAAAATTAAGATAATGCACCAGAATCAGAATAAAGAACCAAGATCACATGATCCTCTCAACAGGTGCAGGAAAAAGCTTGATAAAATCCAACACCTTTTAATGATTAAAAGCAATCATCAAATACTCAACCAACTTGGGATATGAGGTAACTTCCTCAAATTGATGAGGGGCATCTACAAAAAAAACCCTGCAGCATCATAGTTTGTGGTGAAAGACTGAAATCTTTCCCTCTAAGTTCAGGAACAAGCAAAGGATGTCTACTCTCACCATTTATGTTTTACCTTGTACAGGACAATTACACAGGAAAAAGAAATAGAAGGCATCTAGAAAGGAGAAGTAAATCTATTTTCACAAATGACTTGGTTTCATGTATAGAAAGTCCCAAAGAATACACACTCAACACACACACACACACACACACACACAAACACACACACGAATGATTAGAACTTTAGAACTAATAAATGAATTTGTCAAAGTGGCAGGAGACAAAATAAAAATATAAAAATCACTTGTGTTTCTGTATACTAGCAATGAACAACATGAATACGAAATTGGGAAAACCATTCAAGGTTGGTTCAACAAACAAATTAATATAATTTATAACACCAATAGACTTTAAAGATAAGAATTACATGGTTATCTTAATAGATGCAGGGAAAGTATTTGACAAAATATAGCATCCATTCATCTTCAAAACACTAGAAAAACTAGGGGTAGTAGAAACATACCTCAACATTGTAAAAGCTATATATGTTAAACTCCAGACCAACATCATTTTGAATGGAGAAAAATTGAAAGCCTTTCCTCTAAAAACTGGAACAAGACAAGGAGGCCTTCTTTCACCATTTCAATTCAACATAGTCCTTGAAACTAGTCAGAGTTATTAGGCCAAAAATAAATAAATAAAAGGATACAAATAGGAAAAGAAGAGCTCAAGCAATCCCTATTTGCTGATGACATGATTCTATATTAGAAGACCCAAAAAACTCCACTAGAAAACTTCTACAACTCATGAATGAATTCCAAAAAGTAGCAGGATATAAAATCAATACCCATAAATCAATTGTGTTCCTATACCTCAATGATGAATCATCTGAAAGAGAAATTAGGAAAACTATTATTCACTATAGCCTTAAAAGTAAACAAACAAACACTTGGGAATCAATCTAACAAAAGAGATGAAAGACCTCTACAATGAAAACTATAGAGCACTAAAGAAAACTGAAGAAGACCTTAGAAGATGGAAAGATCTCCCATATTCATGGATAGGATAATTAATATTGTCAAAATAGCCATACTACCAACAGTGCTTTATAGATTTAATGAAATTCCTATTAAAATTCCAATGACATTCTATGACATTCTTCATAGAAATAGGAAAAGCAGTTATGAAATTTATTTGGAAAAATAATAGGCCAAGAATAGCCAAAGCAATACTTAGCAAGTGAAGCAGGAGGCATCACAATTCAGCTCTCAAATTATGCTACAGAGCTGTAGTAACAATTCCACTTACAATAGAATAAAAAGGAATAAAATACTTAGAAACAGATTCACCAACGTAAGTGTAAGATGTGTCCAGTGAAAACTACAAAACATTGCTGTAAGAAACAAACCTAAATGAAAGACATCCTGTATTGATGGCTTGAAACACTTGTTATTAGAAACCAATATTCTCCCAAAGCAATCTACAGATTCAACACAGTCCCTATCTAAATTTTACTGATCTTTTTGGAAGAAATTGATAAGCTGATCTTAAAATTCATATGAAAGTGCAAGGGGCCAGGAATAGCTAAAAATCTTGAAAAAGAATACAGTTTAAGGACACATGCTTCCTGATTTCTAACTTTCTACAAAGCCACAGTAATCAAAACTGTATGGTACTGGCAAAGGTTCCAGATGTTTATGCCAATAGAACAGAATTGAGAGTCCAGAAGTAAACTCATACATTTGACAATGAATTTTGACATTGGTGCCAGGAAGATAGTCTTCAACAAACAGTATTGAGATAAGTGGGTAGCCATGTGTAAGTGAATGATGTTAAACCTTTATATCAGATCATAAACAGTGACAGTTGAACATATAGGTTGAAGTGCACAGGTCCACTTTATTGGATTTTCTTTCTTTTCTGGAGATTTGTAATAATTTGAAACAAACCTCTCTCAGTCTAAACATATAGTCTAGAAATACCAAAAATATTATGAAAAAAGGCATGAATGCACAATTTTATATATAGAATAATCTATTTTACCATTTACTATCATAAGATATTATGATAATAATATCTTATAATATTATATATAATAATATATTATGATATTATAATCTATTATAAAACTTAAAATTTATCACAACTTAGGCATATTACAAACCACCGTATATGGCACCATTTGTAATCCAGAGAAACAAAAACAAATGCAAAGATGGAGTATAAATCATAACTATGTAAAATTAACTGTAGTACATGTTGTTCTACTGTGATGCTTTTGTAACTGCCTCTTGTTACTGCAGTGAGCTCAAGTAATATATTAGCTTATAATTCCACGTGACCCTGTTCATCTCTGCATGAGCAGGTCTTTTCTCCAGTACATTGTGTATCTCCATAAATAGTGATTGCTAGCACATTTTTCACCATAAATAATATATATATTATACAAAAAATTTTGTTAAACAACTTTACATCATTGTTAAGACTTCTGGTCAACAGCAAGCTGTTAGTTGTTAAGTTTTGAGTGATTCAAAAATTATATGCAGATTTTCTACTGCAAGGGGGTTGATTCCCCTAACTCCCATGTTGTTCAAGGGTCAAGTATATAATAATTAATTCAAAATGAATCAAAAGCCTAAATGTAAGAGATAAGCCTATAAAACTCTTAGGAAAAAGCATAGACATTATCTCTGTGTCCTTTGTTAGGCAATGGTTTCTTAGTCATGGCATCAAAAGCACAAGAAAGAAAAGAAAAAAAAAATAGATGAACTGAGCTTCATAAAAATGGACAACTTTTGTGCTTTAAAGATGAAGAAATTGAAAAGACAACACACAGAATGGGAGACAATATTTATAAAGCATATATCTAATGAGGGTCTAATATCCAGAATAAATAAAAAATGATTACAACTCAACAACAAAGATAACCAATTTAAAAATGGGCAGAGTTAGGTGCAGTAGCACATGCCTGTAATCCCTGTGGCCTGGGAGGCTGAGGCAAGAGGATCACAAGTTTATAGCCAGTTTCAGCAACTTAGGAAGGCCCTGAGCAATTTAGCAAGACTACATCTCCAAATCAAATATAAAAAAGCTGAGGATGAGGCAGCGATTAAGCACCCAGGTTCAATCTCCATTTCCAAAAATAAACAAACAAACAAAAATGGGAAAAGGATCTGAATAGATTTTTTTTCTCAAAAATGCATAAATGATCAACAAGTGAATAAAATATGTCATACATTACTAGTAATTAGTGAAGTACAAATAAAAGCCACAACGAGATACCACTTCATAACAACTAAGATGCTTTAATAAAAATTGATGGACAGTAGCAAATGTTGATAAAAATGTAGAGAAACTGAAACCCACAGATAAGTCATGGGCATGTAAGATCGTGTAGCCACTTGGAAAACATCCTGGAAATTGCTCAAAATGGGTTTCCACATGACCCAGGAATTCTCTTCCTAGGTGTATATCCAAGACACTTAAAATATATATCCACACAAAATACATGAATTTCATATACATGTATTTTTCAATCCAGAGAAACATACACAAATGCAAAGATGTTATGGTTTGTTTGGCAAAAAGTGGAAATCAACAGAAAAGTGTCTTAGACCTCCAATATTTATAAATTAATGAATTTATAAATTATAATTTAAAACATAATTTTGTAAATTTAAAACAAACTTAAACAAAATATAGTATCCATGCAACAGAATATTATTCAACTACAAAAGGACTGAAGTAGGGCTGGGGATATAGTTCAGTTGGCAGAGTGCCTTGTATGCACAAGGCCCTGGGTTTGATCCCCAGCACCAAAAAAAAAAAAAAAAAAAGAATGAAGTACTGATTCATGCTATAAGGATGAACTTTAAACTTTACGTAAGTGAAAGAATTCATATACAAAGAACTACATGGTATGATCTAATTTACATGGAATGTCCAGAAGAGGCAAATCAATGGAGAAAAGTAGACTAGTGATGGCCTGGGCCTGGGAAGAGGGAACTGAGGAGCAATGGCTAATGGGTGTGGGGATTCTTTTCTAGGTGATGAAATGTTCCTGAATTAGATAGTAGCAATGGTGGCACAATTTGGGAATATATTAAAAACCAGTGAATTGTGCATGTTGAGAGTGAATTTTAAGGGGATTAAAAAAAGAAGAAAACAACTTTAGAAAAGTATAGACCACCCATGATGATGATTAACAAGTCTTTGAAGGGGGCAAAACTTGTTTTGGATATATGAGGTCTGGTGGATTTTAAAGACTGTGGTGTAGATATGGTTTGGATGTGTTCCCCAAAGACTCATGTGCTAGAAGCTTGCCACAGCGTGATGGTGTTGAGATGGTGCAACCCTTAAGAGGTGGGGCCTAGTGGAAGGTGATGAAGTCACTGGGGCAAGATCCTTGAAAGGGATTAATATAGTTTTTTTGCAGTTAGTTATCAGGAGAATGTGTTGTTAAAAAAAAAAGCAAGCCTGGTCACCAAATCTCTCTGCCATCCTATTCTTCCATTGATCTCTCCCTCTTGCATGGGCTCCTGCCATGATGCCATCTGCCATATTGAGATGTAGCCAGAGGCCCTCACCAGAGCTGTGCTGATGCCAGCACTATGTTCTTGGACCTCCAGAACTGGAACTATAAAGTGCCCAGCCTCATGTATTTTTTCAAGCCAATAAAAAACAGACTAACACATGACTAACTTCCTACCATGTTGACCTTATCACCAAATGTTTTATTTATCAAATGCGTATTTGGTATTATTAGTCTTTGTGGATTACATGGTCATGGATGTACATGATCCTTAAACACTCATTCTTAGTTTTCTGGTTATTTCTTTAATATGATAATCATTCCTGAGAAAGACTAATGGTCCCTATGCATTTTATTCTATTTCTTTATAAGTAAATGGTTACTTTGGAAGCTAGACATCATAATTCATCCAGAATCTACTAATGCACTGCTTGGTTATGTTTAACCCCAAAACACATCTCATTGTCACACAATTTTTGCGTTGATCCCAACAGTGTATAAAATGTTTTGCTCTTGTGCAGTGAAAACTGCATGCTGACTGCAGAGCAGGCTATACTAAATGATGAATGAATGATTTGAGGGAACTCAAGGTAATTAGTTGTTCAAAAGTTGACTTTGGGTCTACTATGTTCCATAGTTTATATCTAAACCTAGATTTAAAACAGTTTTAATTTATTTTCAGTTTATTCCCTAAAGGCATTAAAGCTAAATTTAAAAAATATATATTTAGTTTTGCTTGTGAAATGTTCTTATTTTCCTAAAAATGTCTACCCTTCTTGAGTAAGAGGCTTGATAGACTTAGGGAGATCTTAAAAACTTTTATCGGAATGAAATCAAGTTATTAATAGTTGGTTCACTAAGATCCCTGCCTTCTCCCCCTCCCTCCCCTGACCTCCAATGTTTTTCAGGATCCTTGCTGGAACATTTGGGACTCCTAAGGCAGAATTGGAAGACAGTGGAGATTTGGGGCACATTTTTTTTCAAGGGAGCGGCACTGGGCTTCTTCCCCTGTCCTGAGAACTGGTTGTGGCATGAAGCTGGAGGCAGAGCATCTGGTCTTGGGAAGACCCCCCCAGGAAGTAAGTTCACTTCAGTCTGTGCCATGAGCAATGATTCTGAAATGCACTCCCCATGATCTCCTCCCAGGGTCTTGCAGAATCCTGGAACTGGCCTGGGGATTTAGCAGGTCAGCAATTACCTGTGTCAGAGGAGCCAGGGGAACCAAACAGTGCCAACCCTGGGAAGAGACTGGAGAGTTCTCAATGGAGCTGCACTTTTCCCTGGGGCCCCCTGCTTACATCAGCTGCTTCAGGAAGAGGCAGCCAACTTTATCCTAAGACAGTGGTGAAACCCTGCAGCAGGCTGCTTTTTCTCTACATTTAACAACAACAGCCTCTTCCTCTCTTCACTGAGCTTCTCTCAGATATAACAGGAAGATAGGGTCTGCTTCTGCTCCACGCCCCAGAGATCTGTTGAAATATCCAGGCTTGGGGCTTTGGTAGTCTGAATATTTGGTTTTAAGAGAGAGACTATATCTTAGAGTCCAGTTCACCTTCTGCTCTGGACTGTGCCTGATCCCACTTTAGATCTTGGCCCTAACTCACTGGGTCTCTGTATGTTTTTGTTCCAGCACACAGGCTTATTTTTAACTGCTCAGGGAAGAACTGCCAAGGCCTCTGCCCTTGCCTGCTGAGAGCCCTGGCTGTGGAGTGAAAGCTAGGCCACCAGTGGATGGAGCATGACATCACATTGCAAAGGAGGCCCTGGACAGCGACGCTTTCTTATTGCTGGTCTACAAATCTATTATAAATTCTCTCTCATCTCAACTGCACCAGAGAAGCTCAACATTTAAAGAAATCTTTGGTGGGATCCCTTCATAAAATAATGAGTCTTGTTAACACTGTGCTTTGGAAAAGCAAAATCTAGTGCTATTATTTTATTTGGAAATTTGTATGTGTACTTATTAGGGTTTCTTAAAGAAGGGATTCCCTCTATTTAGGACCAGTAAGAACCTTCCACATAGAGACTTCAAGTCTCACATTTTTATGCCTTAATTTGGCTTCTGATTAGAATTTTATTTGGTTAGTTTCATAAGCCATCTTACCTCTTTGGTTTGGGGAAAATGATAGTTGTATTACTCTTTAAGATATGGTAAGATTTGGGGCACATTCTTTCAAAGGAGCAACACTGAGCTTCCTCTGCTGTCTCAGAAATTGGTTGAGGCATGAAGCTGGAGCAGCGGGTGTGGGAGCATGATTTCAGAAAAGGATGCTGGGTCAGGTGGCAGGGTGGCAGCAAACACAGATGACCTGGCAGGAAGACCCAGTGAGAACAGAGTGTCGTGGGGCAGACCCTGGGAAGTAAGTTCGTTTTGGTATGTGCCATGAACTGGTCAGCAGTGTCTCTGAAATGGACTCAAACTCTAGGGTAATTTCCCATTGTCCTAAGCTCTGGAGGAGAATTAAACAAGCCAGTCCAGTGGGTAAAGAGAGATGCTTGAATCAGACCACTTGGATCCAAATCTGGGCCCTGTGGACGGCTGTAAAGTGGATGGAGCCACTTACCTGGGGAGGAAAATGTCCATCCTGGTTCTTCTCAGCCTGGTGGTCCAGAGGTGGATGACTCTGGCTGTGAGGTGTGGTTCAATGTGGCCCAAGGGGGCACCTCTGTCGCGGGGCAGCACGAGGAATAGACTTGCTGTGCTTCCCAGGTAAGGTAGCTCCAGGACCCCCACCTGATGGCCTGCAGTGTCCTGGAACTGGCCTGGGGATTCAGTGGATAACGAATTAGCTCTGTCCTGGGAGCCAGGGGGACCAAATAGTGCCACACTATGGGAAGAGGCAGGTTTACAGGACTGTAAATAATAAAATAGAAGATCTTCTTGCTCTCAGGGAGCAGCATGAGGCTGACGACAGTTGAGTGACGTGGTCCCTTCACTGATCCTAAGGCACAAGGGCCTAAGTCATAAGGTCTGCAGTGGCTGGGCTGGATGATGATGATGGCACAGGGTAGAACCATATACCCTGTCTTAAAAGGGAAGCCCATTCAATTCTGGCCTGGGGACCCAGGCCTTTTGTGCCAGATCTCCCTATCTTTCAATTAAAACTCTAAATCCAAATTTCCTATAAGATTTCCCAACCTTTAAAGCATGACACAGACCGAAATAAAAACCATGAGTCCAGTCTAGATTTGACATGGAGATGGACCAATCGTAACCTGTGAACTAAACAAACAGGTCTCAGGAAGGGCAACTGGGAGCCCATGGACAATGAATATGGCTGGCTGGGGACAAGTCTAGGCTGCCAAGCAGAGCATAATTTCAAAAAAGTGTGATGGGTCAGGTGGCAGGTGGCAGCAGACACAGATGACCTGGCAGGAAGACCCAGCAAGAGTTGCTAGTGAACAGACAGTGACTGGGCCCAGTGACAAGAAAAAGATAGTGAGTCATGTAGGCAATCCAGGGGGCAGCGAGCCTCAGGTGGACCCCAGCCCAGATCCCTTCCTTGGGAGGATTTCAAGACCAAGGTCTTGGCGTGTGTCAGGAAACAGCAGAGTTGGCTGCGGGTGAAGGCAGAATCTTAGGCTCAGTAGAGAGTGACAGGGACACAGTTCCTAGTGCGTATTTCAGCTACTCTGTGGTTACTTATTCACTGTCCTTTGTGTGTCAGCCACCATACTCTGCACCCTGGGTGTGCTGGGAAGAACAAAAGCCACCCAGAGCCTGCCTGTCATCACACAGCCAACAGTCAAAACACCCAGCACGGTGACAATAACAATGATAAAATGATAAAAATAAAAACCATAATAAATTGTTCTTGCACATTTGTTTATCCAGTAGACATCCTTCTCATCTTACTCGACCTCCACAAGCAATTATTGTTTGATTAAACAGATAAGTGCCTTTACTGAGCACTCACATGTGCCTGGATGGAAACAAAGCAGGACTACTTGCTAGCTTTCTAAATGCCAAAGTTCCAAAGATGCCGATTGAAATCTCACTGGTTTTTCCCTGAATAAGAACATAATGAGACTCAGAGGCTAAGCCTTCAGCAAGATTGAGGCTTGAGACATGGCTTTGGAGAAGTGTGTAGCAAGAAGTGGGGCCTGTTCTCCCCTGTGGTGCAGGGCCTTCTGAATCCACCACCCACAGCAGGTTGCTGGGATGGGGACCTCCAGGCATGCACCAGCATTGGGCAAACCCCGCCCGCCGCACCTCTATCTCACCAAGATGAGTGACCACCAGGCAGGTGGGTACACAGAACCATGGCATTTCAGGAGCAGTGGCTGCCAAGCAGAGCCTCCTCTGGGAGGCTTTGGAAAGCATTTTAGTCTCAATCTTCCTCCTTGTTCAGCACCCATTTTATCAGAGTTCCTGCCAGGGCAGGCGGTTCAGTTCAAACATTTTTGATTTCGCATTAACTCTATTCTTATTAAGTGCAGAAGGAAATGTCAAGCATGAAATTGGGTTGTGCTCCACATCTGTGTCCACACTGTCTTGTCAGCACACATGGTACACAGACCCCTTTCTCTAAGTCTTTTGCCACCTGGGCTTTCCTTTGGCCAAAGCCATGGCCCTGACAATGGACTCACATGGAGACACATCTCCATCCTGATCCTTTGGGAGCAGAGGCCTGACCTTCCCTCTCCTGCCCACAGGGCCCCGGGGTTCCTCCCACTTCAGACAGCTTAGGGGAAGGGGCTTACCATAGTTGACCTCAGCCATTTGGTGCATCATGGGGACCTGGAAGATGCGGCCACGAGCACAGGTGAAAGGCAGGGGCTGCGAATTGGTGGAGGAGAATCTCCTCCTCCACGTGCTTTGGAAGGTCATGGTGCTCACCAGTGCGAGCTGAGCAGATGCTGCGTTGATCTGCTCCCACGGCAGGCCACCTGGGCTCTTACCTGCAAGCAGGAGAGCAGGGGTGTAAATGTACGTTATGATTGAACTGAACACAATATTTGTGTAGGGAAGGAGTGCAGAGTTAAAACAAACAAACAAGATCTTTTTTGATGTAGTATTCTCCATTTCTCTCTCTCCCCCCTCATGTTTCCCAGTGTCTTTTTGGTTTACTAAAAATGTTTTAATTCCCTGTCTCAGCTGCTCGTACTGCCAGGGGATCTGAGGTCACACTAGCTGCTCTCAGCTTGGGCAGTGGGAATAGAAAGTGAGAACTCAGAAGTGAGTCTGAGTCCCTGACACCTGCCCACGGGCTCTGGGGGTCAGTGAGGCATTTCCAAAGATGGGCTGCAGCCTACTTGTTAATATCCATTAATGGTGAAATATGTACACACTTCTAAAGAGCTGCTGCTGAAGATCATGCCTTTGTTCTTCCCTGAGTATTTTGGAGGGCTCCCTCTGGTTCTGTCTGAAGCCATTCTTTCTCTAGGCAGACCCCTGAGGAACTAGGTGTAGTGACAGGGAGGTGCCACACTGTGTCACCCCTAGATCTCCACTGACCATTGTTGAGCTGTATCCCCTTTTGAGACAGCAATGTCCAGAGCATTGTCTCTGGAGGGCTGAGGTTAAAATTTCATGCATCACTAGAAAGAGGACAGGCAGACTACCCCTACAGGGACAGTTTTTTTTGTCTTGGCCCTTTATTTGTTTAATAAACATATTCTTTGCATTGGGCTTTGTTCTAAATATTGGAACAAATTCTCACTGACTCATCCCTGTTATTCCTTACTTCACAGATGCTTGGAGAAGTTGGCCAATGCCATATACTTGTGATGGGCAAAGCCACCATCCTCCAGTTACCCGAGAAACCTTGAATTCAGACTGGAAGGGCCTGGCTTCAGGCTCTGCCCTTGGGATGGCTGCACTAATGGCTACCCTTTCTTCGAGGACAGATTTGTCCAGGAATTGAGAAAGCAGCTAGTGTGGCTTTTGCAGGGGGCAAGGGTGGGGGTGTCCTGGCAGCACAAGGAGGTGAGAGGGAATTAAACCTTTTAAAGTAAATTGACCAGATGTCATGAAACATTGGAGAAAATTGAGGAAGAATTGCAAGTACTTCAGCTCAATGAGTATATATTCTATCACTTCCTATTCTACTTAAAATTTTTTTTTGTAGTTATAGATGGACAGAATACCTTTACTTTATTTGTTTATTTTTATGTGGCGCTGAAGATCAAACCCAGTGCCTCACACATACTAGGCTCTGCCACTGAGCTACAGCCCCAGTCCCCTATTCTTCTTTTTAAACAGCTTTGGTATTGAACGTTCTTCACATTTCTGGGTAACATGAGTAATTACCAAGGATGCTAGAGTCCCACACTCTGTGTTAGAATCCTGGCTTTGTGGACCCTGGGCAGACAGAGGGCTCCAGCCTCAGTGCCTCAGTTCCTCCATTTTTAAAATGGTAACAGTTCTACCACCTCCCTCCTAGGACTGAGGTGAAACTAAACTCAGATAATGAATTTCCTTCTTTCTTTGTTTTCTTTTTTTGGTACTAGGGGTTGAACTCAGGGGCACCCCACCACTGAGCCACATCCTTAGCCCTATTTTGTATTTTGTTTACCGTCAGGGTCTCACTGAGTTGTTTAGTGTCTCACTATTGCTGAGGCTGGCTTTGAACTCAGGGTCCTCCTGTCTCAGCCTCCTAAACTACTGGGATTACAGGTGTGAGCCACAGCACGCAGCTGAGAAATTGAATTTTGAACAGTGCTAAATAAATAAGTGCTCAGTAAATATTAATGATTTTCAATAAGAATTATAATGGCATAGTGGCAGGTTCCAGACCTCTCTGAATCATCCCTCATTGCTGGACAGTTAGGTTATAAATATATTTTTTTTTCAATGAAACTGAGCTAAACATCTTATTGCATACAACTTTTTCTTCTTTTGAATTATTTCCATATCCTAAATTCCCAAGAAACCATTTTTCAGCCCCTCTGACATTTTATTCTCACAAGGGGTTAACTGAAGATGGGCACAGAGCTCAGTGGAAACTTACCCTGCGGAACAATGACATGGGACAAAGCCTGTAAGGTGTGTCAGAGGTAGAGACTCTGAGGAACACTTTTCTATGCATTCATGTATGTGTGTGTGCATGTGGTGGGGGTTGAGTGGGGTGGGGACAGGGACAAAGTCAGCTTCAGTTGTTTCACAGAGCATGTTATTCAAGGGTAGAGTCTCCCAAGAAGACAAACTTGCGCTGCAGTGGAGCGCAGCCCACGCACCCATCACCATGGCTTCTGACAAGCGTTGGGTGATACTCTGTCTTTGCAGCCCTCACTTTAGCCTTATGAAGGAGGATGGTTTTCTTTTACCTGTGATTGGTCTGGATGCCCCTTCCTTGGCCCAGATGGTAGTGCTGTTGGGCTCACTGAGGTCAGCCGACTGCAGGCTGCTGTTGGCCCACCAGGAGACCTGCTCCACAAAGCAGGGGGACAATGGCATTCCAGCTTGCACAAAAAGGGTGCAGGCCAGCTCCATCTCGGAGACGTGGCTGGAGTTGCGCAGTGTGGCATAAACAGCATGCAAGAAATCTCTCACCTTAGGGTCTGTGAGAAAGAAGTAAGGATAAGCAGTCAATGGGGACTGTGAGGAAGAAGTCAGCACAATGTCCTCTGCGTGTTGCATGGAAATGGGACCTCAGCAATGCACTCTTATTTCATAAGGTGTATCCCTGTGCATAGTCAATTTAGAAAAGTCAGAGCTAAGCCCCCTCAGGAGTCAGCCTAGCTGGCTGGGAAGAAACCCTGCTGGGGACACGGCTCAGTGGTAGAGCACTTGCCTAGTAGGCATGAGGCCTGGCTTTGATTCCTAGCCAAAAAAAAAAAAAAAAAGTAGAAGTTGGGAAGAAGCCATGCTAGATCTGAAAGAATCCAGCTGCAGTAGGGCACAGGGGTGCATGCCTGTAATCCCACTGTCTTAGGAGGATGGCAAGTTCAATGCCAGCCTAGGCAACTTAGAGATATCTTATCTCAAAATGAAAAATAGAAAGGACTGGAGATGTGGCTCAGTGGTAGAGCTTCCCTGGGATCAATACCCAGAAAAAAAAAAAAAAAAAAGAAAAAGAAATCTGGCTGCAATGAAGTCAACTAAGATAAGGAGCTGTTCTTCTGTTCTAAGATCCTGATTCAGGATTGTGGACAAGTGCTGGACTAGGGTGTCTAGAGCTGGGACAATGGAGGTCCAAAGTGCAGGGTGAAGGGCTTTCAAATATTTGCAAAGTCAAGAGCTTTATATGCAATGTCACAAGTAACAGTGATGGGCAGTGGCCAGGATGTTGTGTTGTCAAGATACCTTTCCTGGGGCCTTATATGACAGCATGTCATAAACCCAAGCAGCCTCTTTTAGAACTATGCTTTCAATTTGAAAAATACAGAGGAAAGGTAAGAACATTTCCCATCCCCCAACTCCCTACAACTCAGCAGAAGGCTCTTATTATTTATTGCATTAGTGAGAAGCTACAAGATTGTTGAGGAAATAACCATGGAGAGAGTGAGTAACGAGCTTCCACCTCCTTGGATGGCAGCTAGATTTCTATTTCTACACTATTTACAGATTGCTGCCTTGTCTCCATAATCCATGGTAGATTTTATTTTCATGCTACTATTTACAAGCTGCAGCTTCTAGACTCCCAAGACATCCCATAAGCGGGTGTTCTGGGGGTGAAGCTCTGTAGGTTGCCTGCAGGATACCTCCTTCCTGTTCTCCTCTGTGCCTCACCTCATTCTCAGGCACATCCCTGTAGCTGTCCCCAAATCCTCCCTGCAAGACACAATGCCCTGCCATGTCACATACTGAGATGCATCTCTCACTCAGCTTGGGGTCTATCCAATCTTTCAGGTTGCAGAGGCCAAACCAGGAGGCAGCAGAAGACCCCTAAGTAGCCTGGCTCACATCCTTTGGGAGGGAGCACAGTACCCAGAATTCACCCTGGTTATGGCCCCCTGGCTGCCAAGTATAGTAGCAGACAGATGTTATTCATCTACGAATCACTCACTACTTCTTAGAATCCTGCTTAGAATCTTAGAAACTGCTTCTTAGAATCCACAACTCTAAAAAGCTGACTTGATCACATGAATTACAGCCTAACTTGAGTTCTTGCACAGTATCATAGTGAGAAAAGAAATGAAAGTCCTTGCAGTCAGATTTTACCTTAGCCAGGGAGGTCATCTGTATTTCTGGGATCACATCTCTGCTGCATGTTGGCTGTCTGCAGAGGAGCCCTGAGACATTTCACTAGTTCGTGGTGTAGAGTGACCTTAGGGGTGATCCTGAGCTTTTTCTCTGTCCCCTTACCTTCTCTGGGCCAGGAACCAGTGTTCTTACAAATTAACAGAGCAGAGTAAACTGGCTTGCAGTTGATTTTAGCATGAAGTCTGATCTCCATCTGAGCCTGGCCTGTCCTTGCCCATTTGCACACAGGAATATGCCATGCCAGAAATGAAAACTACTCTAGGCTGACAGTGTCCACAGAGAGTGTGCCGAGTGCTCTGCGTTCCTGATCACATTCAGTTCTTCCAACAGCCCTGTGAATGAATGCCTATTGTGATCCCCATTTATAGATGAGGGAGCTGAGCCAGAGAAGTCCATTCTCTGGCTCAATTTCATCAAAGTAGTCAATGTCCTGTTGCCCACAGGGCAAGGAGCCAGTGGGTTGTGGACCCTCTGCTTGGGTGGCTTTGTTCTCTTGGGGATGAAGGTGGCTGTGGAGCAAGTGGCCTCTTGTTTTGCTGTATTTGCTGTATTCCAGATCCTTTTCTGTGATGGATCAGATGTAACTGATGTGAGAGTGAGAACCCGCTTCTCCCACAGCCCTTGAAGCAGAATCCTGTCGCTGCTGGCTCTCTCTCTGCCTTCCATGTCTGAAATAGAAAGCTGCCTTTCTTGCTGAAAGAGGGGACATAATCAGGTAGTTCTAAGAAAATGCTGAGGGAGGGAAGGAAGACAAAGAAAAGAAAGCCACACGGGCTGTGGGACACCAGGGGTAGAGTGAGGGAGGTGTGAAGGGCTTGAGGAGAGGGTCCCTGGGACGAGTACAGAGTGATGGAAAGTACCCGAAGAAAGTCAAGAGTTCTGCTGCAAAACAGTCTTTCAGCTCATTTGAGAGACTGGCATGGAAAGTACCTTCCTTTTTAAAATAAATCTGCTGCATTAACCTTCTTAATTATGACACTGAATCTGGTGGGTCTTGACTTTGTAAGGTTAAGGTGTATAAAATTCTCAAAGTGCAAGAACTGTCTTTTGGATGCTAATATTTTAATTGCCAGAGAAGGCAAAGAGGGCTTTTAAAGTGGTCTCCAGTGAATTGGGCTGGGCTGAGAGGATCATGACGATGCTTTGGCGAGAAACAGAGAAGGCAGGGTGCTTATATATTTATGCAACTTCCCCATGGCTTAGAGTAGAGCTGAGGGGTTATGAAAAGAATAGGATTTGGAGTCAGAAAATATAGCATTTGAATTCTGGCTCTGGCACTTGCCCATTAGGTGAGCTGAGTCTTGCAAGTCATTCACTCGTATTTGTAAAATAGGAATATGAATAGAGGCTTAATATTGTATATGGTTTCTGTGAGGATCAAATGACATCACAATGATAAAAGTAACTCCATATGCATCATGAAACAGAATTCTTTCCAGGGGCAGATCACCTTTCATCTCTGAGGCCTCTCTCTGTTCCTAGTCCTGTTCTTGTTCTTAATAGAAAACACTGAAGTGTTCTTTATTAATCTCCCTGGATAAGGAAGATACCTAGAAGTCGGGACTCTGGGAAATGGCGTGCTTCAGGAGTGAAAACAAGGTGCTCTTTGGAGACATCTCTGGTGCCTGTTCTGAATCTCACACTGTGCTTCGAGGATCAGAGGCGGAAACCCTGGCAAAGCTCCTGGTGGTCACACAGCGTCCAGATACACAGGAAGGGGACAACGCTGGTGTGTCACACTGCAGACTTGGACAGATCTTTCTGTTGATTAAAAAGGCACAGTACCCCTGATCCTGAGTGTGTTTTGCTGAGGACTTTATACTGTGCTATTGGTCTTAAAGAAAAGACTGGGCGGGGGCAGGAAGTGGCACTGGTGTTAGTTTTAAGTAGTACACACATGATTTTCAGAGCTATGCTGATGCAAACCAAAGCATAGAGATATTCTATTAACCAGAACTCTGAAAATGGCACATTCTTGTTCACAACTGTTATAGCTCCATAAGATAAATAAAGCAGTTTATGATTAAGAAAATTAAGTGGAATTATTATTATTACTATTAGTATTGGTTGGGTGGGGTATTGGGGATTAAACCCAGGGGGGCTTTACCACTAAGCCACATCCCCAGCCCATTTTATTTTTTATTTAGAGACAGGGTCTCACTAAATTGCTTAGAGTCTTGCTAAATTGCTGTAATCCTCCTGCCTCAGCTTCCCGAGCTGCTGGGATTATAGACGTGTGCCACCATGCCCTGCAAATGGGGTCATTGTTCCACAGAGTTTGACTATTGCGCATTCTTGACACTTGGTGATTGTTGAATGAGCTGAAAGGACACCCTGATCATCCTCGCATCTGGTTACCAGGTACTGACACTGTACCCAACAACCAGAGCCAATCACAGTGTTTCCTTTCTCTGCAGGTTGCAGCAATTGCAACTGTCTTTCTCCCATTCCTGACTTCAGTGAGGCTCTATTTTAAGACTAAAATGCCTGCCCTATCTTTTACATTCCTCGTTATTTTTCATAACCCAGCTCAGATGTCTCGTCTTCTGGGGAGCCTTCAGATCTGCCAGGGGAATAAATCATTCCCTTCCCTGTACTAACTTATCTCCCACAAATGCACTTACCGTGTAGGGTTAGAGTGTATTACTACTATGAGCCTGAGCTGCCTGTGTTCAGGGTTTTCTGTACACATCTGTATGCCAAGACCCTCATGCTGTACCAGTACATGCAGTTGGTGCCCCACGGCCCTGGGTGAATTGCCTTGCACCAGATCTAATGGGGTTGAAGAATAAGTCTGTGGCTCTGTGCACTGCTGGGATATACTTATTGAGAACAATTAAGTTCAATAAACTATTTTCTGCTTCAGTATCCCCAGAGAGAACCCACATTTGTCTGTGGCCAGCATGGTCACCATCATTGTCTTGGAGCGCCGGAAGCTCAGCTGGAGCCTTAGGGCCTGACATGTTGGGTACTAACCTCTACTTGCTAACTCAGAATTCTATTTCAACGGAAGCTCTCACCAGGCTGTGTTGGTATTGGCTCTTGTGCTTTCTGGCAAATCAGTTTATACAAAGGTTGTCCCATTCTTCTTATTAAGATCTTATTCTGAGATAGAGAAGAAAAAGCCCATGTGTGCTTAGCATGGAGATGGTTGTTGGATACCAAAGCCAGGCATTGAGTTGGTCCCTGAGAAAAGTTCAGCTGAGGCTGAGCTACATTCAAGAAACTTGCTGCTGTTGGCAGAGATGCTCTAAGATACAGAATTCATAAAAATAAGCCAGCAGATTGAACATTGGCCAGAAGTCACAGATTCATGAAAAACATGGGCTTTGGAGCCAGAGAATCTGGGCTTGAATCCAACTCTGCCCCTTACTGGCTGTGTGACCTCTAGCAAGTTGCTTCCACTCTCTGTGCCTAGTTGCTCTTTTTCAAAATAAGGATGATAATAAAGTCACCAACCTCCACGGGATTGTTGTGGCAATTAATTTAATTAATGTTTATAAGGTGCTTGCAACTCGGCCTGGCACTATAAAAGACCGTGTGAAATGAAACCAAATTATTACTGTGGAACATGATGCTAGAAGTGAGCTTTAAAAATCAAGGGTAACTGCCATTCCAAAGTCTGAATGCCTGCTGTTGCCTTCCTGCCCAGTGGTCATCTTTCTGCATGAGAGCACCGCTGGGGGCTGAGCTCCTGCCTCCCTACCCCCTACCACCTGAGCAGTGAGTGAGAATGAGAAGAGTAGGCATGAAGAGTGAGAGGGTGAAGAAGCCTGCACGTGGGGGCCTCTTACCGTGCACGGTGTACCCCAGAGCGCCTGCCAGCTGCTGGCCAGTGTTCCCCTGGGCTCCAAACTGCAGGATCTCCAGCGGGAGGGACACGCCGGTGGGAGAGATGACAAAGTTTGTGCCATTTCTACCCGCTGCTGCGCTCCGGTAGAGGCGAAGTGCAAACTCAGTCTTTAGCATCAGCAGACTTTGGGGGAGGTGGCTGTGCCCTCCAGGGAAGCAGAAGTGAAGGAGGAAGAGGGTGATGTGCAGGAGAGGCGACATGGAGACTGCTGATGCTGCTGCTGGTCCTGCAATTCAGAGGGCAGAGAAGCGGATGAGGAGAGATGCTGGTGGTGCCACCAGCTCATCCCACAGAGGACGCCGCTGCCCCGCTCTGATTGCTCTGTATTTAGTGGCTGGAAAAGGCCAGAACAGGGAGGCCTTCATCCAGCTGCTCTGGTCCCCCGCTCACAGTCCCACCTGCCCCGGTGGCTTTACTGCATGTTTTGGGTTAGCATTGGGAATATCCACACTTGCTGGGATGCTTTACAAAACCAAACCAAGGGTTGGAAGACCCGCTTCATGTCTTTGGCAAGACCTGAAGCAAACATTTCTTTGGGAAAAGAAATGTAAGAAGAATATCCTACTTTTTTCTTTTGTATTTAGCCAACTTATAGCTGTGCCATGTTTATCACAAATATTATGACAACTCATCATCATCATCATCATCATCATCATCTACCATGCTAAAAGGGACTTTGTACATTCTCAATTGTTCCAAAAATCTTACTTGGTAGCTGTTAAAATATTTCATCTCCAGGGATAGTGATTAAGGTTTAGATAGCCCAGTGACTCATGTACATGGGGAAAGCAACAGGGCTATGACTTAAATCCTGTTTTTCTCTCAAGAATACACATGTGCATTAAGATACTGATATATGAATTAATTGTGAACTAGAATGCCAGAATTCTTGTGATGTGAATCATTCTCATAAAAAAGAACACTTTCACAGAGAAGAGAATTAAACAAAGTAAACCCCTATGCTAGAACTGTACCCTCCCAGGGAAGGCAGAACATCCACAGGCTAGAAGTTCATGCCAGAAGAGCAAAGAAATGTTTTCAATGGCTATGCCACATATCCAGCCAGCAGCAATTTTGGCTGAGTGGTCTAACTCTGAAATCACATGGAACTTCCTGTAGAAGTTTGCAAGCAAGACTCTCAGTGTCCACATTAGATAATGACCCAAGGCAGAAAGCCTGTCTCTTGTTCTTCAGCTCTTTCTCCAGGTAGCCAAGTGCAAATGTAGCACCAGATGTCTTTGGTACCACAAAAGTGGGGATGTGCGTGTGCATGCGCACATCTGGGGGTAGAGGGTCCCAGCCCAGGGTCATTTGTGAAAGCCTCAAGCCCCACTTCACAAGCCTTGCAGCTCCTATAACCTCCCATAGGAACACGCAGCTCCCAGCAAGTGAACCTGGACCTCGAAGTCCCGGGCTCCCCATGACCCAAGCCCCGCCATAGTTCATCTGGGAGGAGCTGCTTACTCACGGACTCTTGGACCAAAGGGTTGCGCTTCCTTGGTTGGTTCTGTTCTTGTGGGTCTCCAGCGTTAATGTGCTCCCTTTTAAAAAAGTGGAGCAGAATCTGCTTTGAATCACAAGACAGCACAGGGAGGAAGCTGGCGACGGCCGTCTCTGCCGGCGATGTCTCTACCACTCGGGCCAAATTCCTAGAGGCTGGAGGTACTGTAGGGAGCCAGGAGAAGCAGCCCAACCCCGGCAGCAAAGCCCAGATCGGGAACAGAGTGGGACCCTGGGGACAGAGCCAGCCACACCCGTCAAGCCTTCTTAGGCTTGTGACCTGGTTGTACCAGCAAGGAACCCCTCATCCAGCCCTTTGTCACTTTGAGGAATTCCACTGATAACTCTGTAGGGCTTTTGCTGGGTACCAGGTACTTAGTGCTTCTCCCCCTCCTCCTGTGAAGAGAACAATAATTCAGTCTTTGGGCCTGACCTGAAACTTTGAGCAAATGGAATTCTGCAATAGACAAGGAAAACAAAGCAAGGTACGGAGCAGTTGGGAGCAGGATGTTTTGCCTTATTTATTACTAATCAAAGGGAGTGCACTCATTTATGTATAAAAAAGCAATATTTACAATCTTCTCAGATACAACAGCTAAAAAGCACAATGAATTCATTTGAGAGGATGGGACCTTATTGACCGTGACTAAATGTACATTTTTGGAAAGTATGGAATTCTGCAATAGAGAAGGAGAAGAAAATTTCTGTCAAAAGTTGTTCCTGTGACTGATCCAGAATGACTTATATTTCTATTAAGGCCTTAGGCATTGCATTCTGTTCAAAATAGAATGTGAGTTATATGTTGTAAAAGATTAAAGAAAAGAAGAGAGGGATTGAAAACAAAAGCAATTTTTAGTAATTATCTCTCAGGCATCTGTTAGTGTTAAAATGAAAAGTTAAAGGACTATTTTTAACCTGACTACCTATTTCCCTATAATCAGTGGGTAATTCATTTTATTTATTTATTTATTTATTTACTTACTTACTTACTTACAGTACTAGGGGTTGAACATGGGGGTACTCTACCACTGAGCTACATCCCAACCCTTTTCCTTTGGAGACAGAGGCTTACTAAGTTGCCCAGACTGGCCTTGAACTCGTGAGCCTTCTGCCTCAGCCTCTCAAGTTGTTGGGATTATAGGCATGGGCCAGCCACTGAGCTCTGCAGGGTTTTCTATTAAAGCAGAGTTGTATTGCTGACGTCCATGCCTGGGATAAATTATAGTTCTTAATAATGTTATAGTTCTGTAATTGTTTTACACGAAATCTTCCCAAATCCTTAATTTGGATTTAATTTCATTATTGTATGCCTTGGACTTTAAATAATAGTGTGCCAGGGGAATAAATATGTTTATCTTATTTTATAACATCCAGGGAAGGCATATTATCCACCCATCCATCCATCCATTCATGCAACTGGTCACCTGATCACCTGCTAGGTGCCAAAGCTCTGGACTGGGTCCTGAGCTCAAGTCTTCCAGGACCTGAGTCTTGCTCACTGAGCACTTATTTAGAAATGGTGACAAGAAAAGCCATAGTGATTGTGAGGGCTGTCTCACAACATCGTGGAGTCCACATGGCTGGGATGATTTGAGCAGAGGCTTGGTTCACTATTGGTCAGCGGTACAGTGGAGAGGAACTTGTAAAACAACTTCCCAAATTAAGACTTTATGAACATTCTTTCCTAACTCTAAGAATGTGCCATTCTAAATTGCTTTAAAAACACTTTCAGGAACAATGTTAAGGTAACATAACATACAAGAGAGGTTTCGTATGTAGGTTAAATATTTTTTTTGTGTGTGAATGAATGGTGACTGATTTTCCCTTTGTGTATCCAGCTGTGAACCTGGGTGGGCCACTGATGTGTCTCTGACCATATAAGCAGAGATTATCCTATTCATTTCTACTGTGCTGGGATAGATATTTGCTATGCAGCTAAAGGGGGCTTGATTCTTGGAGTTGTTTACTCATTATTATAAAAACAAAAATGGTGAGCATTATTGAGCACTTGTAGTGTTTTAAGTGCCCCTGCTAGATACTTCCCATGCACAAGTACAACAGAACATCATAACAATCCTATGAAGAAAGTATATTATTCCCATTTTTAATTAATTTTTTATTTATACATGTCAGCAGAATGCATTACAATTCTCATTATACACACAGAACACAATTTTTCATATCTCTGGTTGTATACAAGTATATTCACACCAATTCATGTCTTCATACATGTACTTTGGATAATAATGTCCATCACATTCCCCCATCATCTCTAACCCCCTGCCCAAAGAAACTAAGGCTAAAGAGCTTAAGATTTTGCCTAAGGTCCTGCTAGCCTGAGCTGGGGTTTGAACCTGGGTTCACCTTGACTCTGAGGCTTATGTTTTTCATCACAGTCTTAGTGGTGCCTGTCAGGGGCCACGATTTGGGTGTCTTGAAATCTTTTGTGGAAGTGGGATTTGAAGGTCTTTGGTGGCCAGCCCAGACTTTCTTGGCTCGTGATGTGTGTCTCTTCCACTTGCATTTACTTGAGATTCTTCAGTGAATCACCTGTAGACAGATTACAATGAGCCACAGCGTCTTTTTAATTACGGTGCCTAATTTTTTCACAGGCTGATTTCTTATAGGCATAAACAAACCACTTTCAAACCCAGAGGTCTACCACTGGGATGGATAGAAACACTGAATTTTAAATCTGTTAGTGGACAATACACAGTCAACTCCTCTTTGCTGTGTGGGCTGCTTGTCTGGGGTTGTACAGAGAGAGTCCCCATGAGCACCTCTGGCCTTGAGGAGTCCATCATGGAAAAGAAAGTATGCCATTGAAAAAAGTTCCAAGGTGTGGCCAGATGAAGCCAGAAAGCAAAGGAAGGGTACCTAGAACTTGATGTCACAGAATTAGACAAAACTGGCAAGTCCCTCGAGGCAAACCATGCAGCTGAACTTCCGCCTGTCCTGCCAGGAAGAGAAGGATAGAGAGGACCGCCTCTGGGTTTTCTGCTGTGGAGATTGACAGTTGCTATATGGCTCTTACCTTCTACTTAGGTACCTAGTGCATAGGGTCAAAATGAACTCTGGGACTTCTCCACCTTGTAACATCGTTTAGTAGGGCCTAGTGAAGAATGTACGTAGCCCTGGCTTCCTATAACTGCTACTTACTAACTATAGCCCTTGGGCAAGTCACTGAGCTGCACTGAGCTTTTAGTTAACTCTTCTGCCAGATGGGCTTATAATACCTACCTCTCACTGTGAAGAGGCAAGGAGACAGGCTCTATGAAGCCTCTAACACAGTATCTGATAAGTAGGAAAGGCTAAGAACATCAGCTTCTTTGTGTTGTGTCCCCTTGTGCTAGTCAGCTTTCTGTTACTATGACAAAACACCCAAGGCCATCAACTTGTAAGATGGAAAATTTTAGTTTGGCTCACAATTTCAGAGGTTTCAGTTCATGCTTCCTTGGCCCCATTTTCTCTGGGCCTGTGGTGAAATAGAACATCATGGCAGTGAGCTATGTGGTGGAACAACTTGCTTACCTCATGGCAGCTGAGGAGGAGGAG